CGGGCCGGATAGCGAAGGCCGCGTGGTGCAGCTTACCTGCCAGCACCAATACCTCGCGCACGGTAGCCTGCTTCCTGTGCTCTGGTCATTCCGTTAGTCTCTCTCTCAAATCCTGCACTTTCTGTTCCGGCAATGACATCGTCCCTGCTTCGGTATCCACCAACCACCCTAACACCACATGTTCCGTCCTCCAGGCTGTCATCTTCTTTGCGGGCAGTGGTGGCTCCTCGTGCTCATCCCTCTCCCCTAATAACGCATGGTAGGTAGACGCAAGCCCCTTTGTCAACTCCAGACACCGCTCCCCCTGGTCTTCCCACTGCACTTCCACGCTAATCGCATCATCCACGAAAAACCGCACAAACGCCGGATCATTCTTCCCCCCCCCTACCGCTGGCTGCACCTTGCATTGCGGTGGAATCGGCACTATCGCTTTCCCCGTTGGCGGAGCGATCTTTACGTGTGCCGCTGCCCGTACCCCGGAATGCGTTACCCGTACCGTGTCTCTCGTCGTCTGTCGGTGTACGTGTTCTATCGCCGACGCCACCAACCCCCACCACCCAGGACTGCCCCGCCATCCGAACTGCAACCGAAGGTCTACTACCGGGAATCCCCCTACCACATATCCGAAAGCCGGCGGCCCTGCGGGGTCTTCTGGAATTTGGCGAAACGCGCTTTTCACGTCCATTTTTTGCAACAAAATCGTCCTCCTTGGATACCTAGCTCTCAGCCCCAGGAACCGTTCCAATACCTCCTTCATTACAGTCGCCATCCCGCACGCCGGAACTTCTTTAAAAAAAGTGGTGGCATTCACCGGTCGCCCTTCCCCCTCGTTGCTTCCGCTACTGGTATATAGTCAGATCGTGTATCACCCAAAGTTGCTCTTTCTCCTCCACCACCCCGACCGGGGACACGCGCAAACCTTGAATTTTTCCTGCAACTCCTCTCCTGAACAGCACCGCCCTGCCTGCTTCTACGTCCTCCACCACCTTCTGCCAAATCGCTCCGTGCCATTTTTGCGCGCTCGGATGATTTCCGTACGCTATCTCATGCTTCAGGTCTCCCCCCGGTCCTACTGCGATGGGTACCCCCACTTCTGCAATTTTTACCAGCACGTCTACGTGTTCAAGGTTCCCAAAACTTCTGGCAATCTATTTCGCATCCATATGAGGCGCCAACAAACGTCCACCCAGACTCTGCACGACACGTCCGATACCACCTCCGCTAGCATCTACAATCTCTTCCTTCGAGGGGGGGTCACTCAAAAGGGGTTCACTCGCTGGTTCAGTTTGTGCATTGGGGGGAAAAAGGCACGGGGCGCATACGGGGGCCAAACTCTCAGACAACACGGCCCATGCCATATCGGCCAACGCTGTCACCNTATGAGGCGCCAACAAACGTCCACCCAGACTCTGCACGACACGTCCGATACCACCTCCGCTAGCATCTACAATCTCTTCCTTCGAGGGGGGGTCACTCAAAAGGGGTTCACTCGCTGGTTCAGTTTGTGCATTGGGGGGAAAAAGGCACGGGGCGCATACGGGGGCCAAACTCTCAGACAACACGGCCCATGCCATATCGGCCAACGCTGTCACCAATTTCAATTGTTCCGGTGACCCGGTTTTCGTTTTCCGGAGCCTCGATAGCGCTGTTCGCCACCTTGCTTTTCTCTCAGCCGCGCCACCCGGTGCTGTACCTGCTGCTCCAGACGCCACCGACTCCGGCACCGGCCCCGTCTCCGCGCCCATGTCCCACTCCCCGCTCGCGCGCGCGCCCCATCCTGTAACCTCCCCTGCCCCCGTCTGCCCCGCCTGCCTGCGGAGCTCGCGCTCTCATTTCTTCGCGGCGGGCTCCCCTTCGGCGTCTGCCCCCCTCCTCTTCTTGGCGCCGCCGAGCCTGGTGATGATGCCTTCGCCGTTGTTGTTACCGCCGGTGTGCCGGTACCGGCACGCGTAGCCCTTCCGATATTCGTGAGTACAGACGTTT